GGATAGGGTCAGATTTGTCAGGCTAGGGCCAGGGAACAGCGGCATTAGCTTGCTCTTTTCCAATTCCAATTGTCGAGGGATCTTTTATGTGCACAGCCGGTATCAGAGGGGGCCTTGGTTTATTGTCCCATCCAAACAACTAAATGCTTTTTCTATGTCAAAAGTTTCTTTTACCTGTAAGAGAGGCAGCTGGCTGCGAAGAACCACTAAATGAAAAGCCTCCCCCTGGTGTGACTGTAGGTGTAATATTAGGTTTTGGAGCTGCAATAGCAGCAGTTTGTGTGAGAGAAAATCCAGGTGCTGATCCTAGACCTGTTGCTGGAGTAGTTGATGCACCAAAGGAAAATCCAGTACCACTGGTACCTGTAAGAAAAGATCATTAACTATCATTTTTTTCTGAAAAGGTTTTACTCAATTTACAATTACGCAATTGTAATGAAGGGTAATTCATCTATTTTTGGGGTAAGTAAGACCATAACTAATGTACAAGAGGTGTCACTTAAGTAGTGAGCATCACCATGAAATAGTTGTCTTAATGTAACCACATTGCACATTGTACTTAAATGAAATGCATAAAAATCACAGACTCTGGGAGTGTGCGTTTCTTTTTCTAGTTCAGTTGCTGATGCATACCTGGAAACAGACCAAATAGACACAACTATTTTTATTCCCCTTACTCAAAACTGTTGCTGCAAATTCGATGTCACCAGGATGAGTCCCTGGACCTTGATGTAAGCTAGAAACTCCCTCCAACCCTTCCTTTTCGCAACTAACTTCAATTTCATACTTAAAGATGTAACAATTATACTCCAATCCAGGATGTGTTTGGAAGTTTTCTAAGGTCATTTAAAACAGACAAAATCTATTATGTTACCTAAAAAAAATTCATACCTGAAGTGGCAGGTGTTTTCCCAAATGATAGCCCAGTACCAGCACCAGCATTTCCACCACCAAATGTGAATCCACCTGGTGCGCCAGTGGCAGCACTTGTTGCAGCTGCTTGTGTTGGTGCTGCTGGAGCTCCAAATGAAAATCCTGATGCAGTTCCTGTGGCTGTGCTTGTTGTTGGAGCGGCACCAAAGGAAAAGCCTGAAATTAAATTAATGTTTATTGCTTAAATGGCATAATTCAATTTATTCAATGTGTCTCAAATACCAGGATCAAATTTAACCTTTGAGCTTTGAACAATATTACTGATTGGCTTAGCTAAAACATTCCGGTTTCTGAGACTAAGGTAAGATTGGTAAAAAAAAAAAATGGCGCCTTTCTTGTCCTAGGTCTTTGAATTCAATAGTTTTCAAATATTTTGAAAGTCATAAAATCTAAGATTTGGTAAGCATGGATATGTTTAAAATTCAAGTCCTACCTCCTGGTTTGTTACCTCCAAACATCTTCTTACTTGATAATTACTTTTCTCCTTGATATTATATTCTACAATAAGCTCTAAAATAAAAATAAAATAGTAGATCACAAACACTGTCAAACTTCATGTTATAATTAACTACCTCAAAACACCTGCTCTCATTGAATCATTTTTCATTACAACTCTAGATCAACAATTCTGTCTGGTTGGATTCAGGGTGGAATGCATGCCATAGTAACAAAAAAAGGCCTATATGGTTGTTGTTCACACTGATTCACAGTCACAAATTGACAATAGAATCCTACAAGGCTACATGGCCCTATTCACATTTCTTATAATTTTATTTTGTGAAACCCCTCGCAAAATCACTACGACACTTGCTGAAAATGTCTTTAGTTTCTTGGCGAGCCTAACATTTTTAAATTATCACCCACTTCGGGTCCACTTATTAACTTATTACCTAAAGATGGTTTTTCTTTGCCACCCGCCAATCTTTTTAAAATAAGTGTTTATTCACAAAATCGGTGCTTTTTGGCTTTTTGTACAAACCTTATTTATGATTGTCGTACAAGATATGAATAACAACTAGGTGAACAAGATGGATCACAAAACTCATGTCAGTCAACGACTGCGTCATTTGATGGAATAGTGTTAATTTTAGAAAACGAAATATGAAATGTAAAATTTTATAGTCTTTGATTTTATTGCCTTTAATTTTGTCAATTATTTTAAATTAGAAAATAACCATCATATGGACGTAAAGACATTCTGAGATAAATAATACACATTCGAAATTTATGAAATGACAAGCTATTGGAAACTGACTTGATCAAACAATTATCTTATTAATTGCACCTTTTTATCTTATTTATTCCATTGTCTACCTATTTTACATTCAAAAGCGAATTCTTCGTTGCTTTATATGTCCTGAAAGAATTAAACTCATTCCGTAAATTTAACAGATTATTTTTGACTAATGGTCATAGATAATGTTTATATTTCTTATTTGCGACAACCAGCGATGAAACTTTCAAAATGTCCCGAAATCACGTTCGATATTTAGCTAGAACAGTTTTTGTTAAAAATAATGATATTGATACTGCGGCCAGGACTTTAGACAGGTAAAGGATGGACCCTTTGTTTATCTCTTTCTCTGTTGTTTACAATGTCTACTTCTTGTTGGCAGCTGAATTAGGCTTAAAGTCTAAATAGGAGCACCTGCGCTACACAGACTCTTGCCATCTTGGACTATTGAGATTCTGTCGTAGGGCTGAGTTGAAGAAAATAGTGTCAACGTTTCTAAATATTTTTAAAAGTTCTACCAACAGGTATGGCAAAATTGCTGTCCATTCCCATTGCACTTCACTAGAGTAAGATCTGAGATATTACTTTTAATTCGGCTGTGGCAGTTGTCACTTGTCACTTGCACTTACAGTAAAGTTGCAGTAAATGTTAAACCTTTTAACATCACAACATTGTAAGATACGATTTCCATGCAGCCTGCATAATATGCAAGCAGCCTACTACATTTTAACTGACTAATTTGAATTGCCATGGAAATCCTTTAGTTAAAAAAAGAGACATACCCGGTACTGTAGGACTTAAATTCTAAAAAGTAAAATTTAAATGTAGCTGAAATTGAGCAAATAATTTCATGCCTAATTTTCTCTTAAAACCATGGCATTACTGTTTCATCTTTCAATTCATACAGATGTGATACAGCTTCAGACACTTCAGGAATTTTAACTATGTTTGGTATAGGAACACCTGTGAATTTGTCTCAAAAGAATCTGCGAGGGTCGCCTGGTTTAATTTTCCAAAATTGGGAGATTTGATATGGAATGACCCTATGTTGCTATTGG